TGGGTGAGATTTAGTTACATTTAAAGGTGTAAAAATAAGATTGAAATCACTGCCTAAAAAAAGGAAATTACTTTGGATGCCCATTGTTTCTGGAAGAAGGGTGTTTTCATGCCTATGTGGCACTGACGTTATATTAGGTGGAGGCCAAAGTAGAGAACGAGACTCTCCTTTTTGGAACACTTCATATAACTGAAATGGAATGTATATTACCTTAGCAATACTATGTGCCTAAATAAAACATGGGTTCTGATTTGATATGCATCTCATTTGTAGTATGAAGCTTTTCTTACCAATCCAGGCGTGCCAGAACCACTTCTTGACATAGAATTGACCTGCATTCAAATTCTGGTTCCTTTCCTTTCTACATGTGTGACCTCGGGCAAGTTATTTAAACCCCTCTGTGCCTCAGTTTCTGTGTAAAACAGGGCTAGCCTTAGAGTTGTGTGCATATTAAATAACACCTGGAAGACTCTAAGAACAATGCCTGACACATAGTGAAAGGGAATGATCATTATCTGTTATTATTCAGGTCCATAAATAATTATTGGCTGTCCACTCTGTAGTAGTCTCTGTACTAGACCCTGAAATACCTTTGGGATTTCAGCCTTTTTGTTTGTGTTTTGTCTACAAACAATGTGTTACAAACTGAGTTATGAAATTCTGATAAATTCAGCAGTCCAGTTAGACCCAAATTAATCCAGAAAAAAGGCCATTTGGAGTCAGGACATTTGAAATTCGGGAGAGAATATGAGATGTAAATGAAATAGTTACTTAAGGTCTTGCCTTTAAGTTATTGAGTTACTGTGCCAGGTTTTAGAGAGTACATTTATGATGCATATTAAAACCACTTTGACATTCAAGGAGTCAAACATGCCTGATTAGACTTTCATGTCCTGTATTTATAAAAAGGTTAGTGGTGCATTCCTTCAGTGCAAATTATTTTTGGTTCTTACTAACATTTATGAATATAAAAAAATCTATACAGCATAATGTATGTGGTTAATTTGTCCACATCATCTGTTTGCTTTTATTTAAGGAGATATCCAAGAAGTTGCTACATCTTAACCAGTAATTTCAGCAGTTAGGGAATAGGCAATATCTAGTTAAGGGTAATTGTACTTTAGCACTATGAGACAAAATGAGAAATGCAATCACGGCAATAATGTATTCCCCTGTATAAATCTGTCATGGAAATGGTATAAGAAGACATACCTTTTACAGGCAGTTTCATTGTTATGCTTTATGGTGATTCTAAGCCTGGCCTATACAACAAGCAATTAATAATGTTTGGTCTGCGAGTTGTCTTGGGTGGATATGTACACAGGACACTAAAAGTAGGTTTAAGGTGATGAATTCAACAGAGAATCTGACCATTTGGTCTAAAGGATCTCATATTTGACTGGCTTTGGCACTGGCTTGACTGGTTACCTTCCGAGATTTTGGAGTTAACCATGTATATAACCGCTATCATGTAACTCTACCTATGGTGTTTTGACAGACACTGAATACTTGGCCATGAACTCCTCCTATAGCTCCTTTATTTGCATATCTTGCACCGTTAAGAAACTGAACACATAGGACACAACCCTTCCATTACCCGATATCTGCCAAGATGGAGATAATTAGGCAACTTTTCTCAAAAACTCTTGATGTAAAGCAGAAGAGTGACTAGGTCCCTTCTTAACAATAGGCAAAGTGAGCTCCAGCATTTACTAAGATGGGAACCATAACATGCTGGCTGGAAATAACTTGGAAGCTCATTTTGTCCATACCCAATTGTAGACAGTCAAGAATATAAAAATATTCTGCATTCTCTTGTCCTTAGTACTCCTTTCTGCCTTCCCCATTTCTACAAGCCTGATGGCTTTTAAATGTTAAAATGCTCCCTAAAAGCACCCCATAAGCCTTATTACACAAGTCACATAGGAACAAAAAGCGCCTAAGATAGTCCTCCATTTGGGCGCAGTCTTGCCTTCTGAGAAAGGGGACTCTAAGAATTAATGAGGGCCCAGATTTGGGATATCTGGGGCAAGACTTGGAC